CGGGATGGAAAACAAGGTACAAACACTCAGCGATCAGTGAGTTCTCAATCTCTTTTTCTATTTTAAAAGGGCAATATCAGCGGTCTGTTTAGACCCCTTTTATGTCCCCAAAGCCCCTAGAAGTAAAGTAAAAAAAAAAAAAAATGTAAAAAAAATTGAAAAAGTTAGAATAAAAAAACATTTTTTTTTTCTTTACATTTTGGTGCACCTCTAATACGCACACAGTACATATAATACACACTACTTACACTGGCTGCACATGGCTATTCAGTCCACTGTACCGTGGGCAGCCCCGTGGGTGGAGGAGGAGGCTGAGACAGGGGAGGCCGACTTTTGTTACTGCACTACATCCCAGCAGGTAAGTTCAGAAGCTCCCAGTGCCTCCCTGCTGACACAGGCTCCCCACGCTCTGCTCAGTGTGCCTCCAGTTCCCCAGGATCTCGAATGCTGTGCAGGACTCCTCAGCTAGACAACACGCTTGAGGTGAGTCCAGGAGTGGTGTGGGCGTGTGCCAGGAGGGAGGATTTGAGCCCAACTAATTGACTGACCAACTAATCGATAATTAAAATAGTTGACAAAGATTTTCATTATCAATTTAGTCGATTAGTTGTTTCAGCCCTAGTTGATGGTTCTGGAGAGGTCTGTTGCCACAATGTGGCTTGTGGATTGGTATTGACCATCATGTTGGGGTGGTTGTTTACAGGCAGATGGTTTCCCTTGTCCTAATCACTTATGGTTGCTAAAGGTTTATTTTTTTCTTTGTGAACTGCTTGGGTTGATGAATGGAAAACAACAGTGTGTGCCTCAATGGATGGTAAAGAAAGTGGGGTTTGTCCATTTGAAGGACAATACTCCTTCCCTTATTTCATTCTGCTTGCTGCAACTGAGCAGGGTGGGTAGAGGAGGGACTCGCCTGAAATTTGAGCAGTGTATAACGAGCTTTAGTGTACAAGATGCTATTGGTTGTAGTCCTATCCTGAAGGATTTCTCTGCGTGCCTTGGCTGCCTGCCAGTGGAGTGGTGGGAAGTAATTTATTGCTCCTCAATCATAGTTTGTGACTCCTTATTGGATATGAATGTGTGACCCTTCGTCAGTTGCAGTGGTACAGATAAGTTACAACCACATCCATCATCCATCACAAGCTGCCTCCAAAATTGTGTTGCTGGGGAACAGCGTTGAGGTGTCCAGCCAGGGCTGTTAGCTTAGAGTGCACCAGGTTAAACACTGCCTGGTGATTAGCACCTGTAATGTTAGGTGTATGTCCTGGAGGCGGCTTGCCTGGTAATTCGCTAGGCCACCTCTGATCTCTGCTTGAAATTGATGACAGCAACACGTCTCGGAAAAGTTGAGAAGGTGCCATGTTTACCAGTGTTGCATCCCCTCTTCTTTTAACAACATTCTGTAAACATCTGGGAAGTGAGAAGACCAGTTGCTGGAGTTTTGGGAGAGGAATGTTGTCCCATTCTTGCCTGATATAGGATTCTAACTGCTCAACAGTCCTGGGTCTTCTTTGTTATATTTTTTTTTTGCAAATGCTCAAATATTTTCAATTGGTGAAAGGTCTGGACTGCAGGCAGGCCTGTTATACACCCGGACTCTTCTACTATGAAGCCATGCTGTTGTCTTAGATGCAGTATGCAATTTAGCATTGTCTTGCTGAAATATGTAAGGTATTCCTTGAAAAAGACGTCATCTGATGGACGCATGCATCTTATTTGTGTATCACTCTGCTGCAATTCAGAGATGATTTGAAGATATAGTTGACACTGTCCTTCCCTCTGGAGGGTGGCTACTTTTGTTCACCACGTCCCTGTGTGTGTTGTAAAGTAGCCACCGCTTCAAGCTTGCTCCCACGATGGGCTACAATCTCAATACAAATTAGTAAACTAAACATGAGGGCAGGCATAATGTGCCTTGCGATCCCGTGCGGCCGATCGCATTGTGGCAGGAGGGAGTTGCTACAGTCCCATTCACTTCAATTAAGTGTCACTGTAATATGTTCGTTGCAGTTATTGGTACAGTTAGACAAGACACAGAGAGCGCCTCCATCGCATAAAAACTTTTTAATAAACACATTTTAAAAATGGTATAAAGGTACTCACAAAAGTCGAGTAAAAACAGGCATATAAGGATCAGAACGAGAGGTGCATAGCCACCGGCTGTTCGTCTTCCCTGGTAGTGAAGTGGTTTACGCGTTTCCAGAACCAATTAGGAGTATTCCACTGACTCCCTTTTTTATATATCATAAAAAGGGAGTCAGTGGAATACTCCTAATTGGTTCTGAGGAAGGAGGCGTGGCCTCTGAAACGCATAAACCACTTCACTACCAGGGAAGACAAACAGCTGGTGGATATGCTCTTTTCGTTCTGACCTTTTTTATATGCCTGTTTTTACTCGACTTTTGTGAGTACCTTTTTTTTTTTTTTTTATACCATTTTTTTTATTTGCTAAGTTTTTATGCGATGGAGGCACTCTCTACGTCTTGTCTTGCAGTGCGGCGGTTATTCTGAACCTGGTGAGAGCTGCCCTGTTATCGCCCTGCACTCCGAACACCACTGTCACTTTTTTTAACCTAAATCTGCTGGCGCTGTGTTTAAGTTTGTCTGCTGTATTGGTACAGTTAGTATGTAGTCTCATGAAGTTTTGTTCTTTCAGTCCCAGTGGGAAGAAGTTCCGCAGTAAACCTCAATTGGCACGATATCTTGGCAACTCTATGGATCTCAGCACTTTTGACTTTCGAACAGGAAAAATGTTGATGAGCAAAATAAATAAGAATCGGCAGCGCATGCGCTATGATGGGCTGAATCAATCCAAGGTAATTTTTAGACATTGCATTACAGGCGATATTCAATAACACTAATATTTTAAAGTAGAACTCTGCTTTTGGCACTGCAACTCTCAGACACAGAATCCATACTTTTCTCCATTTACAGAACACCTTGTATTCTTTTAACTATTCCCAAACTACCGTATTTGCCGGCGTATAAGACAACTCGGCGTATAAGACGACCCCCTACTTTGTATTTAAAATATAGGTTTTGGGCTATACTCGTCGTATAAAACTAGTATAGCCCAAAATAATGTTTAAATGCACCCACTAACAGCCATGGCGGTATTCCCGAGTGTGGCTCGGGGTTAATTTTCAGTACCATAAGCGTTAACCGCGATCCACACTCGGGATTACAGTGTCTTCCGCTGAGCCAATCACGGCAGGCTTTGTATTCATTAATACAAAGCCTGCTGTGATTGGCTCAGCACGGTGTACCCTATGTACCCATAAGACTACCCCCGATTTTCTGGGGATGTTTTAAGGTCTCAAAACCCGTCTTATACGCCGGCAAATACGGTACAAGCCTTTCTATGAATACACAAGTGGAGAGAAGAGCGCATAAACGCCCAGCTCTCGGTGACAAACACCAGCAATACAGGAGGTGTCGTGTACCTCATAAGAGTTAACTTGTTTACATAGCACATTTTAAAGGTAATGTCACACCACTTCAGCTTTTTGAAATTTCTGCCATTAACACACTTTCTAGTTGCTAGGATGACAACAATTCCTTCTGTATCAGGACAACGGAAACAAACTGGTTGTATGGAATTGGAATTCCTCCCCTCTTATGCATAACCTTAACGGGCATGGTTTTGTAGTCCTTGGAGATAGCTGAGAATAATGTAATTGATGCCTGTTTTTTCTTAAATGGATATAAGAAAACACATTCAATTAAGGGACCAAAAAAAAAGGTGTTAGGGTTACATTTACCGTATTTTTCCGTCTATAAGACGCCCCCATGTATAAGACGCCCCCACTTTTCTTACCCAAAACTGATTACATCCAGTTCAGATTTCCCAGATTAGGACAGACGCTTACTGGTACCGGTATTTTTTTTTCCTTCTGAAATTTTTATGGGCTCCCTGTTGCATCTGGGCACTGGCTACACGCTCTCTGCAATAAGTGTCTGTAAACCCTAACAATTCATTTTTTTTCTTATTTGGTCCCTTCTGGTATGTCAAATATACCATTTAAAACTGTTTTGTTATCTGTTTGATAAGTTCAAAAAATACCTATAGATCTTCGTTAGAAATCTTGTGAACTGATTACTTCTGTGCTTACTGCATTTAGGTATTATCAATTACATTGTTCTGAGGATTGTGGTACCATGCCCCTTCATGTTGTGGATAATATAAGAGGAGCAGGGTTCTGTAGTCTTAACGTTTTACGTTGTCCTGGCGGAATCATCATTTGAAAAGGGGAAAAAAATGTGAAGAAAGAAAACTAATCCAGCCTACCACCACTAACTGTTAAGCTGCAACTTGTTGTTTGAATACACTTTAATAACAGCTTTATGGCATAACTCTTTCTGTTTTTCAGGGCAAGCCTGATTTGAACACTGCCCTCCCAGTCAGGCAGACTGCATCCATCTTCAAGCAACCAGTCACTAAAGTGACAAACCATCCTACCAACAAAGTGAAAAGTGACCCTCAGAAAGCAGTTGACCAGCCACGTCAGGTGTGACTAAATCTTAAAGGAGAACTATGGGGCAATGGGGTGTTTTTTTAAAATGTTTTGTTTGTTTTTTTTTCTTCATAGTTCACTTCAGGGTCACGGGAGGACATGTCCTGTGTCCTCCGTGAGCCAAGACTCTGCATATAAGGGGCTATAGAGGGAGTGTGTAGCATTTTACACTAGGGGGGGAATTTATCAAAGCACTTGCGCCAGTTTTAGCCTCTTAGTTCATTTTTTGTTATGTGCAAATCTGTCTTTCAACATGTGCCCCTGTTTTCACCTGAGCTTGCACTACTTTTCCAACTGCACGCGTTTTGCACCTGTTTTCTTCAGAGCTTGCACTAGTTTTTCAGTTGCATGTTTTTTTGCACTTGTTCTGGGCTGTCTGAAACTGGAGCATCACCTAAGAAAACTGTCACAACTTAAAAAGTCCCCATGACCACTTCAAGATCCGACAGTTACGCTTTTTGTCTGAAGTTAGACGTCTTCTTTCCTGGAGTCTATTAAACCTGATTTATCAACAAAATTACACTAGCTGGATAAATCTGGTGCAAATATATTCTGTGCAAGTTCAAACACTCGCAATTGCCATGATAAATTCCCCCCAATGTATTTTCCCCACTCCAGTAATACATCTCTTTCTATTCACAACTGCAGCTTTTTTGGGAGAAGAAACTAGCTGGGTTAAATGCTTTTGACATAGCAGAAGAGCTGGTGAAAACCATGGAGTTACCAAAGGGACTGCAGGGTAAGTGTTCCCAACCTCCTATGGAAAGAATGTTGTAAGTTTTTAAAATAGTGTCCATTAACATTACATAGTTGTTACTGTTGAATAAAGACACAGGTCCATCCTTTTTGGTTTTTTTTGTGTGTCTGTGTTTGTTACTAAGATTACCTGTATATCTTGTGCACTGAGAAAAGTACCTAGATGGATTTTGAATGATTCCATACTCAGCTGATACCACTGTCTTTGGAAGGGAGTTCCACAATGTTATAGCTCTCACAGTAAAGAATCCCCTTTGCTGTTTGAGATAAAACCATTTCTCTTCCAGTTGCAGATGGCGGCCTCTTGTTTTCTTGACTGAACTGACCTTAAACAGTCTATTACGGATTATCCCATCACCATTCAAGGATTTGGACATTAACTGCCTCCGGGCCGGCCGTAGTAATTGAACGTTATACGAGCTCCCTCCGGTCCACTCTACTCTGCAAGAATGCGGAAGTGTTGTATAATGCATCACTTACGCATTCTTGTGTCACTCTCCAGCTTCAGAAGCTGCAAAGAAGCTGATGGAGCAGATCTGTGCTTCATCAGCTCCTTTTGGGCGGTCCTAGGTGACATCATTAGGGGTCTTGGAGACCCCTGATGTCTCCATAAAGAGGACCTGTCACATATTTTGCTATCACATAGGGGGGTTTTATTAGCCACGTATGTGATGGCAAGTTTTCAGTGAAAAAAAAAAATGTAAGTCCCCTCCCCCCCCAAAAATGTAAAGTTACACATAAAAATAGAATAAGAAAACAAAAAAAATTTGAAGTCCCCACCCATACACGCGTCGGGGGCGCATACACGCAAAAAAGACGATTACGCCGCACATGTTACATATCACCGCGAACGTCGCAGTGAGAGCAATAAGTCTAGGGCCATCAATCACTGATAACACTAAACTGATGAGCGGTAAAAGCTTTTAGAGTGTCGCCTATGGCCAATTTTGGGTATGGTAGTTTTCTGCGATTTCGCGGGTGCGTGCAATTTTAAAGCTTTGGTGTCTATTTACCCGACGTGACCTGATCTTTTATATTTTACCCAAAAACTGGGTAATAAATGTTTCCTAACGTAAAAAAACAAAAAATTATAGTACAAAATAAAAACCCCAGTGGTGTTTTAAATACCACCAAAAGAAAGCCCTATCTGTCCCCAAAAAATGGTATAAAATTAATTTCAGTACAGCGTTGCATGACGGAATAAACTTCAAAGTACCGCAGCGCTGAATACTGAAAAATGGCCTAGCCAGGAAGGGGGTCTAAACGCCTGGTCTTCAAGTGGTTAATATTAGGGATATACCGATACTAGTATCGGTGCCGATACCGAGTATTTGGGTGAGTACTCGTACTCGCCCAAATGCTCCGATACCTAGCACGAGTACTTCCTGTATCAGTAAGTCGGGCAGCGCGTCATTACACGCTGCCCGGTTTCCTGATTGGCCAGGAAACGGCTCCGTGCTCTCTCGTCACTTGTGATGAGAGAGCATGGGGCCGACTTCCTGGCCAATCAGGAAGCCGGGTAGCGTGCAATGACGCGCTGCCTGGCTTCCCGATTGTTCAGGAAGCTACTGAAGCCGGGCGCCGTGTAATGACGCAGGGCCCGGCATTCTGATTGGCCGGGAAGCCAGCGTCATGCTTCCTCGTCATCTCATGAATCATAATATTAAGAAAGTGACTTTAAAGCATTAGTTTGTATTGCTTTAGAAAAAATTTGACCTGTCCCTTTAAGAAAAAGTATCGGTAATTGGTATCTGCGAGTACTTGATCAAAAGTATCGGTACTCGGTCTTAAAGTGGTATCGGTGCATCCCTAGTTAATATGTCCACTGTCTCCTCTTAAGAGTGAACAAGTTTTAATACATGAAGTCTTTCCTCATAGTTTAGGTCCTCTAACCCTTTTTTTATTAGCTTTGTTGCCCTTCTCTGGACTCTCCAGCTAAAGGACATCCCTTCTGTGGATCGGAGACCAAACCTAATTCACATACTGAAGATGTGGCCAGAGCAGAGTTTTGTATAGGGGCAAAATAATGGAATGTCTTTACAGTACATTCCCTTTTTTTTTTTTTAATTTTTTTTTATACATGATAGTACCCTGCTCTACTTATTTGCTGCTGCCTGGCTATGTAATCTTTTATGAAGGCGGCAGTCCACGAGGACTCCCAAATCCTTCAAAGTTCATATGTTATTTGTATGGCTTTTTAGAGATCATGCTAATTCTTGGTGTGTGCTGGAAACCTAGATCTGAACACTTCTCACCTATTTTCTTTATTTAGCTTCTAGTAAATATTCACAGTGACTAGTACAAACAAAATATTACTACCCGGAACCATGTAGCCCAAGTGGTCTGAGACCTCACCCCTGTCAAGTTTACATTGTTCCAAAAAAAAAAACTACAATCCTAGTAGTGTAGGGGTTTTGAACGAGGCGCCAAACTTTTTTTGTAAATACATAATTTATTTAATATCTTAAAATGTCATGATTCAGGCATAAAATACATACATGATTATTCGATTCCCCAATTCTATTCTATAAGATCATGATTTACAGAAAATATACAAGATTCATGGATTCCTCATTAATAGTCTCATTTCATATTAAACATATTCTACATAATATTTTAAACCATAGTCAAAATCCCATTCAATTGTTTCATATTCTTATCACGTTATTATAATGCAAAACTCCACACATTTCCAACGGGTTTCGTTCATGTACTTCATCAGGGAATATTGTGGTAGGAATCTAATTAAGAATATATAATCCATTGTTTATTAATAAATCCATAAATGTGCAATGCTCATTCTTTAGTGTTTTATATGCTGTAATTCACAGTGACTAGAAGTGTGTTCTTTTAAAGGGTTACATAGACTTTATCTGCTTTTGTTTCTGAGTTGTATTCCCTGAGTGAGGAAGAGGGTTCAAAGCCAATACAGTAACCACAGAAAATAATTTTTTCAAGCCTTTATTGTGCTGCCAAGTTGGCAAAATAGACTGGGGAGTATGGATCACTTTGATAGAAGTCTTTATTTAATTTTGTGACTTCATCTTTTTAAACACTTGATTCTTGATCTCCATTAATGCATCTCTGTTGACTACATTCTTAGGTGTTGGTCCTGGGTGCACAGATGAAACTCTTTTGTCTGCCATTGCTAGTGCTCTGCACACAAGCACCATGCCAATAACTGGACAGCTGTCTGCTGCAGTGGAGAAGAATCCTGGAGTCTGGCTTAATACTTCACAGCCCCTCTGCAAGGCTTTTATGGTGACAGATGAAGACATCAGGTACAAACATAAAAAAAAATCAAGAAATGATGGAAGCGTTGTAGTGCTGTATTTAGGATCTAAGGAAAAATACTGATGCAGCTCAATTACTTTCCTTAGATATGAGTCATTTTTTTGTTAAAATTTTCTTTAAAGGGGTTCTAAAGCCTCCGTTTTTTTTGCCTATATCTACTGCTAGCAAACAGGAGATATAGACAAAAAGTTTTTAAAAAAAGCCCTGGTTTAACAGGTGGTTTACACTTACCGTTTTATCGCTGCGCACTCCCGCCGGAGAATCTGAAACTGATCGAGCGGCCGCAAAGCATCTTGGGGCGGGCACATGCGCAGTATGGATTCTCGGCCGGGAGACGAGCAGAGACGCAAGGTAAGTCTATGGACGCGTGCACCCGCATGCAGACACCGCTGGATCGGAAGTGCCTGCAAGCAGAGGAGTCAGCGCTGGATCGGAGAGCCGCCGCACTGCTGGAGGAACAGATGAAAAAATCAGGAAAGAAGATCTGATTTAAGAAACATCATTTAAGGGAAGTGCTGACATTAACATGGGGGGGGGAGGGGGGGAATTTCTTTAGACTTTAATGTCACTAAGTATAAAACACTTCTATTACAGGATACCCAGTGGAAAGGTGTGTTGTAAGTGATTAAAATGCATACATTCTTGCAAAACCCCCGAATTTGTATTTATTTTGTATTGTAGGTCTTGTTTTGTGTTGTAACTTGGCCCAAAAACTAAACCTAAACTTCTTAAAGTCAAAGGGGGGAATTTATCAAAATCTGGAGCAGTTGCCTATGGCAACCAATAAGCTTCTCTCTTTGGTTTGTTCAGTTAAGCTTTGAAAATGAAATGTGGATGTTGATTGGTTGCCATGAACAGCTGCTCCAGATTTTGTCTGCTCCAGTTTTGATAAATTCTCCTCCAAAATGTTTTTAAAGTATTTTAAATGCTGATTGAGTCACTTTTAGTTGATGCTGCTGCTTGATGTTAAAGTTGTTTCCTGCAGAATTAGCTGGTCCCCTGAGCACTGGCCCTGATATGTTTTAGGGTGTCTGCTTTCCCTTGCAGGATCCAATGAAGCCACCCTTGTGTGTGCTTGCAAACTTTCTACACAGGCACAGCAAAGCAAGTCACTCTTCTCCCCCAATCCCCTTCTCCTCCCTCCTTCAAGCTAGTAGATATGCAGCTGCTGCACACTGCGTTCTGTCCCATGTGATCTTGTACTAGACAAAGTTCAGGGAAGCAGTTTTGAGAGTTGGAGCCAGCTGTTCAGCAACTTGACTTAAGTGATTGGGCAAAAATAAAAGAAATTTTATCTGGATTCATTAGTGAGCGTTTAATACTACTTAAGAGCTCTATATCCCTGTCCAGTTAGAAAAACTTCACTTTTCCTTAAGAGTTTCAACAGAAATTTCCATTTAGGCACAAGGTGTGCCTCTTCACATCTGTTTTGACAACTTGACTTTTGCTGGGTTCTGAGCCAGTCAGACTGCATAAGTGCCTGTTGAGCAAGTTATTTGGATACCTCTAGCAAGATGCCAGCCCTGGTTCCAATGTAGGAAGAGGAATCACGAGCACTCGGTAGATAATCCAACATGTCCATTTATTGGACATAGACGCCACACAATCACAAGAGCCAACGCTTCGAGACCACGCAGGGTCTCCATCAGGGCATAAACTCTTTATGCCCTGATGAGACCCTGTGTGGTCTCGAAGCGTTGGCTCTTGTGATTGTGTGGCGTCTATGTCCAATAAATGGACATGTTGGATTATTCTACTGAGTGCTGGTGATTCCTCTTCCTACATTGTGTCTGCACGGTGCCATCCGTGTTCATCACTACAAGCACCATTGTCTACATAGGCCTGGATTGCTGCATGGTGTACCGGAGGATTTCCCCTTCTAGCCCTGGTTCCAAGACATTTAGTGGTGTACCATATGTCAAGAAAGTGGAAACACTAAAGATTTTCACAGCTCTGTTAAATGTTACTCGTTTTTAAAGAATAATTAGGTTTTTAAAATAACCTATTCAGTTTTGTTTTTTGGTTTTTTTTTAGGAAACAAGAAGAACTGGTGCAGCAAGTGAGAAAAAAGCTGGAAGAGGCTCTTATGGCAGATATGCTGGCTCATGTAGATGAAATTTCAAAAGATATGGGTACCCCTTTGGAAAAAGATATAGATGAAGATGAGGATGACGATTCCAGAGGGCAGGTTGCAGAAGATGTATGAGACTGCGTTGCAGATTATTGCAACAAACAAGACCTGGGACCTGATTTTTTTTTTTTTCTTTGAATTCTTTTCTCCTTTTGTTTCGACCATGCATGCAAAATGCATTGTAAGGCAGCCTTGGGCTCTTCTTGTAGTTCCTTTCACTTAAGTAAACTTGTGAGTATTGAAATATGTTGGCTGCTGTTGCTGACTTTGTTTAAGTGGAAAGCTCCAGGACTGTTGACCAAATCCTTGCTTCACTACATAGAGTAAGCATACAGTCACTGAAGGCTGAAAATCTTAAACTCCAGGTCATTAAGTTTGGAATGGCAGCTTCCATATTTGTGCCCTCCCAAATAAAAAAAAAAAGGAAGATGATTTCCATGCATATGCATTGTGATTTATTTATTAAAGCTTTTCTTTTTTTCGGACTATAAACATTCCCTTTTCATTTTTCCTAGTGGTGACACTAATAAAGGTTTTAGTTAAAGTGACTTGGGAAAAACAAAAAGAGCTGCTAGCTCTCATTGCCTTCTTCTATGGCTGAATGTTGGGCCATTCTGAACAGGTATAATAGGCACTTCTAGTAGTGGCAGAGCTTGCTCGTTACCTCCTGACTCGCTTTAATATTAGCCATTGAAATGGTCCATCAAAGTGATAAGCCAATAGGAATGTGGATGGAGCAGGCAAGCTCTGGCACTGCACCTCTAGGTGGCTACACTTTATAACTTCCTTTATGACGGTTTCTACAAATGAAGTCTTTGACATCTGTCATGCCTTAATAGAAACTTGGTAGGAGTTGCATTTTTTTTTTGTGTGTCTTAAAGTTATAGCTTGCTATTAAGCCTGGCTAATTTTGCTACATTGAAGGACACTGCTGAACAATAAGTTTGCCAGCTGTTATATAGACAATTTCACAATAGCTTTTTTGTTTTCAAGCTGTAGCAGTTCACTTTATTGCAAGTGGTAATTATCTGTGATTCATTTCTACGAAGGATGTTTCTCATACTTCAGTGTCTTTAAATTTTTTCGTAGTTATTGATTTATACCAGTTTGGAAGTGTCACAAGGATGTATGTGTAGCATTTGCAAAATATGGCTTTCTAATAAGCTATCAGCTTAAACCTTAGTAGGTCCACCTCCTCACCGGGAAGGTATATTTGCTGAGCAAAATATACAGAAACTGCAGTCTGAGTCCTCCAATTTGTGAACCTTTAATTTTAATAGGGAGCTCAGAGTGGTGCTACTAGAAAGGTTTCATAGAGAATAGGTGTTAGACATTCCTCATGCAAATCTCAAATAGGAAAAATGCTTTAATATTTTCTTGTAAAATTTGGTTACAAGGCTTAAGAAAAATACAGTATATCAAACATAGCAAATGTGGAGTCAAAAGAAGTGATTATTCCTTCATTTAAAAACGACTTTATGGAAATCTTGCTTTTGGAGTTTTCAAAAGATATAACAAAGGAGCAGTTGATTTCATCTGTAGTCTGCCCAAGCGGAGTAGGTGTTATAAATGTATATAAAGTGTTTCAAGAAATACAATAGTGTGAGTGTATAGTATATATGCATTTTTTTTTTTTTTTAGTTTTGTTTACTTTATTCAGTGTTCTGTGGTGCTACTTGCACCAACTTTTTCATGTATAAATATTAAACGTTTGTACAAATCACCAATATGGTGCTTACTTTCATGAAAATGTGCATCTGTGATATAACTTGAGTCTACCAACAGAATAAATTTTAACTTTTACCGTTGGCACCAACTCTTGATTATTCGAATCCCATTATTGGAACAAACACAGACATTCGTTTCTTATTGCAAACCTTAACAAAAATCAATGTTTTACGCAGTCTGTTTACTTAATCATACATTAAAGGAGAACTATGAGGTGAGTGCTTTTCACTCACCTCATAGTTCTAGCCGACCTGTAACAATAAGACTGTCACAGGTCGGCTCAGTAGATCGGGAGGTGAGTGAACACATACCGGGTTCGCTCGCCTCTCGATCCTGTCACGGCTCTCTGCCGTGACAAGGGGGGGGGCTGGATTCCCCTCTTCCCGCTCCGATCTGCCAGCGCTGACTGGCGGAACGGACGGGGGAGGGGGCGGGTACAGCTGGCTCTGCCTCTAGATAGGCAGAGCCAGCTGTCACTCGCGCAGCTCGGCGGATCCCGTCATCTACGTCAGGATCCGCTGCGGCGTCTCAGTATACCGCGAGCTGTAGCTCGCGGTATACTGAGCTTAGGGTAACGGGAGGACGCTAGTTTGTGTCCTCCCGTTACCCTAAGGAGAACTAGGGGGAAAAACACTGACCCCATAGTTCTCCTTTGAGGGATGCAGGATAGTAAATCAGGTACATAGGTTTATGCTGCTGCCTTCAGGAGATTGGACGCGGGCAAGCAAAAGCTGTCAGGGGTGACGCTGGCCCAAGACGTGGAGTGGAACCCACTGGCAGGTAACAGACCTGAAGGAGATCCGCAGCAAGGTACAAGACAGGTAAATCCAAAAACGTAGTCTGGGCCGGGTCAGGCAGCCAAGATCATCGAGAAGACAGGCCAATGGTACGGTAACCAGAAGTCCAGATGAGGGTTCAGGGAACTGCAGAGGAATCAAAGACAAGAGGCTTAGTAACTGCACCATATAGGCAGAATAACTCTGCATCAAGCCAGGGCTGTGGCTGGGATTTAAACCCAGTGAGGATCAGGACCACCTCTGGTTGCCGAGACAACCATGAAGCCTCCCTCTCCAGGAACCAATAGAAGGCGAGAGACTAAATGGTGTGATGGGAACCTCCCCCAGCATGACCCACACCTGAAGACAATGATGGTAGCGCGCACACTACGCATGTGCGCAGCCTGTCTGCCGCGCGTGCGCAACCCTGCCGACAGGAGTTCTGCCAAGTCGAGGGAGACCCCGTGCACTGCACCGTATCTCGCAACCCCAAGGTGAGGTGGTACCTCCGGTTCCTTAACAGCCTAGTATAACCCCTCCCACTCCTAACATGCCAGTTTGTTTTTTATTTCTAGTGTCTAGCAGAACACGCGTCTTTTTCTTTTAAAGATCTTGAGATATTTTCCCATAATGTCTTCCAGGACCGCTTCACGAGATGGAATCTCCTCCCCCAAACACAGGAAACACGTTGCATAATAGCTTTAAAAGGCCCACCTCTTCTCCAGTCCCTCAGGCTTCGCGTTTCCTCGGTCAACCTGGGGAACGCTAGCGGTGCCTCCATGTGGTGATGTGGCCCTGGAAGGTTCTTTTTTTCTTATAGAGCAGATCTGGCTAAGCTTTTGACTTGGGGCAGATGTGGGTGGGTATTTGTCCTACCTTATAGTGGTGGCCACTAGTTAATCCTCCTTGTGCTGACGGGGGGTATGCTGGATCCCCTTTTTTCAGTGCCCAGCGAGGGCCAGGACCGGAGAGACAGAGCCCCCTTGGCTGGCTTGTGGGGAACAAATGACCGCCTATCAGAGGGGTCCATTTGTTACCCGCAGCCTTGGGAAGTGTTCTACGGCCGGACCGGGTGACCGCGTACATTGCTTCCGGTGCGGTTGACGTCATTTACGGGTGCCGCGGCTTGTGTGTTCTAAGCCTCGTTATCTGCGCAAAAGGAAGGCTCAGGCTGTGCAGCACCAGCGTGGATCTCAGTTGTGACCTGAGAGAAGACGCTGGCAGAGTCTTAACACTTCAACGATGGATCCGGCATTACCTCTGCAACTGTTAGTGACAGCAGATTCCAGTCCTTCAGGCATCAGCCCGGCTCAGGTATGGTGGATTCTTTATTACAGATCTTACCTTCCTGTTGCCTCTGATTTTTATTTTTCTCCAGCTGGGGTCCCTTGGTGATGGGTGCTTTGGTGTTTGTGCACTCTTACAATCTGGGTAGTGAGCAGTATATTTATTGCTACTTGGTTCTTCTCTTGCAGGCTAAGGCTTCGGATAAGACTGAGGTGGCCCCCACGAAAAAAATGTGCCATGTGTGCAGTCAAGATGAGCTCTAACTATGCTAAGTCAGTGTGTCCGAAATGTATTGACAATCTTCTTAGCGACTATGAAGGATGACTTTGCTTCCACTTTTCCTTCGTTTAGATCAGTGCTGGATGGTTTTAGGGCTCCTGCTTCTGTGCCATTATCTGCCCCTATTTTCACTCATTGGCCCGGTCGGGTACTTATGAGTGTTCGAACAGGAGGGTCTTGGTGAACCAGGTCCTTCCCATTTATTTTTCGTTACAGCTTAAAAAAAAAATCTAAGGTTTTTCTTGTACATAAGGTTTTATCTGAATCTATTCTCAGAGAATGGACTGACCCTGAGAAAAAGCCTCTTAAGTCAGGTAATCTGAAAGGCAGATTTCAGCTTGAGGATCCGGCTTTGGTTTTGAACAAATCCCCAAAGCTGGATGTTCCTTTGGCTAAAGTGTCCTAGAGGTCTGATTTGACCTTTTTGAGGACATGGGGGTTCTCGGGGATCCTATGGATAAGAAGTTAGAGGTCCTTTTAACCCTTTCGCTGCCAAGGACGTACGGCATACGGAGCTACAAAAGTGCTTCTGGCTGGCCAGCTCAGTATGCCGTACAGACCTGGCATTTACAGTTCTACTATAAGCTCATGGTTGCTTAGCGACCATGAGCTTATAGTAGAATTGTTCAGCAGACTGTCCCCTTCAAAGTAATAGCTGTCATCAGCCGCTGATGACTGCTATAATCAAAAATACCGGGAGCCTTGAGTCTCTCATCCCTCCCTGGGGTGGCTCCATGGATCCCCGCTGCTGTCCCCCACTTTTAGGGTCTGTGGCAGCGGGGATCCGTAATAAAATCACCGGCGGGGGTCGGGGGAGCAAGCGGCTCATCCTGTCAGTTTTTGGATGACAGCGGCTCTGTAGCGTGGCAACTTGTCGGAGCCGGTGGTCATATCAAAGCCAGCTCCTACAAGCTCTCATGACAGTCCAGCGTCCCCTGGTTACTAGGTAACCAGGAGATGCTGAACTGTCTCATATCACAGCGGCTCCGCCGGTCTCTCAGTGTAATGACACATCAGCGTCCGTGGTTAGCTGCTAACAAA